CAGGACACGAATTTAGATGTTTTGTTTCCAACGTATTACTTGTTCTATATGCAATAATTTCGGCTCCTGCTCTGGAGTCATTTTCAAGAATCACTTGAAACTGTACTTACAAGACTCGAGGAATAAGGGAATTAGTTAGCTCCATAACTATATCATTAAAGGGAAGCTGTTGGAAGGTAGGTTGCACTATATCGTTTACTTGAACTATACCTACGAGTGTACTTCCTTTTGTGGTTCCGAGGTAGATCGTTCTCTGGGGTCCTTAGCTGACTTTAGATTTTCTGTGATGTTTTTTGTTGTCTTGAATATTGATTTCACATCGTGTTTCTCTGAAACTCTGTTACATAGGGAAGGAGGGCTTTTCCTATGTTGACAATGTTACAAATCGGATTGGGAGAGTATCAGAGAAACACGACCTTTATTAAATGATGTCTACCGCAGTAATATTCGAAACGTCAAGCATAAAAACCTGTAGATCACGATAAAAACACCCGGAAAATAGCTTCCACACAGTTAACTCCGGTTGTGAAGTTTATATCCTTATTAATTTTATTTTATTTTTAGAAAAAAAAAGTCCTATTGCAAATTAAATAAATCAAAGTTTTTTTTCATGACGGAGATTTGGCCATGAATTTTTAAGACTGACCAACTAGGTCGCCACATCTAACTCTACTGGATTTATTTCATTTGAATTTCAATACATTTTTGTTATTGAAAAATTATTCGTATTTCCTGAAAATGTGTTGTAACATTTTCAAAGATTTTGATACATAAATCCATTTTGAAATCTCACTCAATAGGAAAAAAAACAGAGTTCTTACTGCTTCTTGTTTTCTTCGCCACGGAAAATAAAAACTGATTTTCTACAGCAGAAAAGATTGTCTGAAAAAAAGTACATACTTATCGATAAACACAGAAGCTGGGTATACTGAATAAATCAAATCAAATGGGAAATGAAAGAAAACGTTGAAGATTCATCAGTGTTCTTTGAATTATGAAAACTCAAGCGATGATCCCATTACTTCACGGATACACAAATTCAATAAAAATTCAAATAATGTCTACTCATTATTTGATATTGATGCCTTCAGCAATAAATTTAAGTTGAGGTCAGGATTTACATAACCTTTTATTAATAGCTTGGGTGGGATCTTCTACCAAATTTGTTATATCCCTATTATTATGGCCCCATTATTAGTTTTACTATATTATGCAACCTTGAGGTAAAGAAGATATTTACGAAATATACCGTGTTAATGATTCAACGTGAATTCCAAGCTCATTGAAATGAAATAGATTATCTGGCAACTGGTCGGTGTAGGAAAAACATTATCAGTAGTTAATTCTGAATACTCGTACATTTCTGGTTCGAAATAGTGAATATTCAATGAATACAGGTGTCAATATGGTCAAACCAATGCCTAATCTATACTTATAAATGCGAAAGTTCATTAATTTCCATTGCTTTCAAATGATTCAGTTTAAAACCTTTATTATCTATGTGTAAAATTTCGAAGTCTTCGTAAAAAATAGCTATGATTATCTGAGAGATAATTTGTATATGTTTAACTTGTTTTTTTATTTAAATAGCTCACATGATATTCCTGGATTCGATTCCTAAATGTTCTGCCAGTTTGACCAATATTCACCTCAGGACACGTTGCACATTTCAATTCATATATTCCTGATTTATTTAACTTGGATGTTTTGTCTTTATTATTTTTAACTAACTTTCCCAACGTATTACCTGTTCTATATGCAATAATTTTAATATCTCGTTTCCTCAAAAATAAAACCAGTTTTTCTGTTGTCTGTCCAAAATACTTTAAAGCTCTATTATTTTGATTTTGACTATCTGACTTCTCAATAGGAAAAACATCGCGAATCGGTTTTTGCGTTGACTTTTTTGGAAATTATTTCGTTTATTAATTCAGATTAATTTGCTTAGTGATATTGAGTTCTTCATTGAAATTATCTATTGAAAGAGTAACATTGACTAATCTGTAAATCATGCTATTAAAAGCTGCTACTTTGTGTTGATATGGATGGGTAGAATCGTTATGTATAGTAATATCCGTATGGGACGGTTTGTGATAAATTGAAAAATCATGTTTGTTTTTCATTCTACTAACTCTTAAGTCCAAGAAATTGATTGAGTTTGAGTTGTCTGCTTCTACTTCAATAGTGAATTCAATGTTTTCATGCATTTTGTTAATATCTCTATGAAAATTATCTAATTATCTTTTAGTAGGTACCTGTAGAACATACCAAAACGTCATCCACATATCTATATCAATACAAGAAATTCTCAATCAAAGGATGTTTAAAAATCGACTTCTGTAGGTTATCCATAGACATTTCCATAAGTAAGGGGCTTAACGGATTTCTCATAATTTAATCTTTTGAAGAGGAATAAATATTGTTGTTGAATTGAAAATAATTTTGTTTGAGACATAATGATAGAAGGTCAATGGTTTCTTGTTTTAAAATTGGATTCACTCTATAATAATCTAATAATTCTTTTACTAAAGTAACAGAATGCTGTTTGCGTTGTCTGGTAAAGTTATGTTTATTTAGACTGAATTTTTGGTGAAAGTTACAATGGTTCAGGATGACACAAATTAGCTGTTCTAATAACTTCACTGATGGTGCAGTGACAAACGAAACTACTGGTCTAATTGGATAATTCTGTTTGTACAGTTATTATGTTTTTTCTGACTTTTACGATCAAATTATATTGAAGTAACACTTTGTTGTGAGATTTTAACTGGACATTTCACAAAACCGTAACACGTGTCTCGCTATATTATAGCTCCCTCAGGCGTTTTCATACAAAAATGTTTTTTATCAAAATTTCTGGAAAAAAATAACTTCAAAAAGTTAACACTGAAGGGTCTAATTAGTCAGTACCTGATAATCATAAATTTTGCCGACAATTTGAATAATCAATGGAAAAAATGGACAAAGATTACGTTTCGAAAAGTAATTCCTTTCCGTTTTCAATAGCCAAAAAATTCACTTCTCTAAACGAAAACAGGTATATTTTCTTTGACAAACGTCAAAAAGTTGAAATGTCCACATGTCATATTCGAAAGTCATGACATCTGGACTAATTGAGCTCTCCAGTTAGCTTTATTTATTATAAAGAATATGGAAGATGAAAACCTGAAAAAAATTGTCAAAACACCTTGACTTTCACAAATGTCTTGAAAGAAGAGGTGTATTTATATTCAATTCCACAATTATGATCAATTACTGTAGTATAAGTACGAAAATTATCAAATAACTCTTTTTTATTTAGAGATGGAGAAGTAGACCTTTCTTCGTCATAACAGAAAACAATTGAATATGAGAATTTTCATTGAAATATTTTTTATTACTGAATTGAAAAACAAGTTAGTCCTATAGTTTTGAATCACTCTATAGTAAACAAGTGGCAGTACTCTCAGTATACCTTCTTTACTTCGATTTTGGAAGATGATTGAAATGATTTGTTTCAGTTCCAACTGAAGGGCGAATTATTCACGTAAGATGAGGGACTGCCAATGGGATCTTCACTTTCACCGGTTATAGCCAATATATTTATCATTGAAGAGGCCCACATGAAGCCCCGAGTTTGGTTGAGATACGTGGACGGCACCTTCATAATATGGAATCATGGAAATGCAGAACTAGATATCTTCCTGAAGCACATCAACAACGTGAGTCCTTTCATCACTTTTATGAGGAGAAGGAAGTCTACAACGGATTGCCATTCTTAGATGTATTGGTGAAGAGGACCGGCACGAAATGGGAAACATCTGTGTATCGAAAACCCACTCACACAGGATAGTATCTGAACCAGGAATCCAACCACCTTCAATCGAGTAAGAGAGAAATCATCAAGACTCTACTAGCCCGTACTTCCGGGCTCTGCAATACAAAGGAAGGTCTCGAAAGGAAAATAGGCATCATCGAAAATGACCTTCAACGAAATGGTTACTCTAAAGTGATGCTGGAAAAGGCTATAGCTAGATGACAGCAAGAGCTCCACAAGGAAGAGAAGTCACCATAACTAGTGCTAGCACTTCTCTACATCAAAGGATTGTCGGAAAGGATAAGAAGGATTTGTTCGAAGTATAACTTCATAAACTGCTTCAGATCTGGAAACACTATCTGTAGCAGCCTCACAAAAACCAGGCCACCAAACGAGGACTGCGATTCCACGAATTTCATTTACCGGATACCCTGCGAGTGTGGAGAATTGAAAGTTCGTATTGTCGAGCATAAGAAACACACATAGCTAGGAGAAACCAGCAAATCGAGAATAGCAGAGCACGTTTGGACTCATCATCATAACATAAAGTGGGCTCAAGCTGAAGTCATCCACAAGGAAAAACACTGGTTTAGGAGAAAATTCATAGAAGCCGCATATATACAACAACGCATTTAGCCAAGCTAACATAGAGATACGCAACATATGGAAACCTCTAATCAAGTGGAACACGACCAACTCCCGCCAAACGGTCAGCTTCCGTTAAAACCAATGAAGCGGAGAAAGGGAAGAGGGGATACGTGAAAGCACTAGAGAGTCAGATCTCGAGTGCTTTCGACTCCACTCGAGTCCACTCCCCTTAGTCATGAATCCATTTGTCTTTCTGAACTTAATCAGCTGAAAGAGCAAGGGAGCTGGGCTCCAACCTGAGTGAACTGAAGACAATTGGTTAGTTAGAATAAGTCCAGTTATCACCCGCAGACGATTGTCGATACCAACAATCGAAACGTCGTGAAGTTTGCAATCTTTTAGTTTTCAATTCTTTTTAATAATTTTTCAATTTTCATCTCGTGTTAATATTTCATTTTGTTTTTTATTTTTTGGTTGTTGCTTCTATTTTATATCATTGTAATTTCAGTTTTTTTGATTAGTATATAATTGTTATTGTTCAGCTAATCTTTTTTAATTTTTTCACAGATTCTTTCAGGTATTAGACAATGGAAGTCCGAACTAATGAAATGCATGATTGAAATTAAATACCATTCAAATATATTGTCTTATCCTTGACAAATGAAAAAAATTAACTCTGAAGAATAACATTCAATGAAAACAAAAAAGTTCTTACATTATTCACTAAAATATATAAACAACTTCTTCTAGCAGAAATAACGCAAGGGGAGAGTTACATCTTAGAGTTCTACTTCAACTCCTTCCATGATTAGACCCGGCAATATTTCCACAGAAACTGGTTTACTGATTATAGGTTCTTCTTTCAAGTTACCGTTGGTAAGAGCCTTTGCTTTATCTCCCTTCTCTTGATCTTGAGTTAGAGAGAATCTACGTACTGCTTGCATAGTATTCTTCAGAGATTCTCTCTTGAAGTTAGTCTTTCTCAACATCCCTTGGAAGTTGAAAGGTGGGTCGTCCTCAGAAGTATTGCTTTCTCTTCGAGCAATGCTTCTCATTTCAGCTATTGGATCAACAGAGTGTTTTGGTTTAATACTGACAGGAGTAGCTTTGATGTAGTCAAAATCTTTGTTAGCAGGGGCGGAGTTGATGGTAAAATTTTCCTGGTTTGCTTTCTTCTTGTAAGTATCAGTTTTTCGAAGATTAACATTCGGAAATGGGGATTTTTCTGATTGAAATTTACTCTTTCCTTTGAAACTGTCCTTCTTCATCACATTTTTATTTTTTTGATCGGAAGTGACTGGTACTGTAGAAATGTTTCCTTTAACAGCCACATTGAAAAGATCTTTAGTTTCCTTAGTTCCTTCTTCTGAATCCACTGGACTTGTGAGCGACGCCATTTCCTCTTCAGGATCTCTCGAGTAGTTTATGTTGGATAAACCTTTACTGTCCACCTCATCTTCCGAATCATCTTCTTTTGTGAGGGATTTGGAGTCTCTCCATCGATAAGGAGTATCCCATGACTCTTCCTTATCAGCAAAACTTCTGTAATGAATAAAAATATCACTTCTCGTTGAAAGATATAGAATATGGGTATGACATAGAAACATATAGAATATCTTTTGTGAAAATGGTTTTCAGAATGTGAATATAAACTTTGAGAATGAAGAAAAAAAGGAAATTATAGTTATAATTACATGACGGTAGATTACAATGAAAATTAATGCAACTCATCTCACTTAAAATCTTATCTTTGCTGTATTCTAGCCTCAACTAATATACCTTACATGTCGGAGATTTGGGAAGTGAAAACAATAATGAACCTCTTGTTGATTTTGCCAATTCTGAAAAATGTTTGAAGAAAAATAGAAGATTCTCACGATAGAAAAAGTTTTTGCTTTTCTCAAATGAAAGTCCTTACTATTTTCAAAAACCACATAAACTTTATACGTGACAGAGACAATTATGCAATTGTGCTAATGTTTTTTCACAAACATCAATGTTTCTGATAGTTTCAATGCAAATGAACCAAAGTTTCCTGATATGAGTTTGCTGCAGGAAAATCTTATCACAGCAGTAGTTAACTCAACTTCAGATGAATTTGGACCGTCCCAGAATATGTTTTCAACAAGATTGTATACCAGATCATTATGCTTAAATGAAAGCAATGAGGTATTCTATAGTTGAAGAATTTGATGTAGATGTAAATCTATTCATATGATAAAATTGTAACTGGTTCATAAAAAAATGCACCAATTTAAAAATTAATACCAAACATTTGTTGGAGAAAATACTATTAAAGTACAGTTCAGATGATTCAACTGAAACTTTTGTTAACGAAAGGGGAGTTGCAAATAATAGATAGTTAGTGAATGAAATGCTGAACCTTTGGAAAATACAAATACCCACCCCAAGTGTCTGAGAAAGTCACATACGTTCGACGAATCATAGAAAGGTATATCCTCCAAGATGAATTGTTTCTTCAGAACGGAGCTCTTCATCTCTCCCAACCAGGATGATGCATTTGCCTTTATATCAACATCTTCCAAGTCGATGTCTTCTTGGATTTCTTCTAAACTATGAACATAATTCATGTTGTATAGATGTACCTGAAATTTTGAATATTACCAGTGTGTCTTGAAGATTTTGAAGTGTCTTTGAAATTGATTTCGAAATTCAGAATTATGTTTTCAAATGAGTTTTCTACTTTACCAACTCACCTGTTGCGATAGATTAAAAAAATCCTGTAATTTCATACCCCTGTATCGCATCAGTACATAAAATAAACTTTTATTTTTCCATCTCATCGCAAAAGGCCTGATGAATTTAATATCCGCTTCTGTTAATTGCTCATAAAGTTCCAAACATTCCTTGCGTTTAGTTTTCTTTTTATAAGCTGAAATTAAAAAATATTCAGAATTCCTTCATGACATTTGCCACTGTAGGTTTTGGCAATGTTGTTTGGCATTGTTATTTTCAGTTTTTCACTTCTCCACCCTTTGAAGGTTGCCAACTTGACTTTGAAAAAGTTGAAAATACCCTTTGAGATACCTAGTTATTATGGATAACAACTAGGAAAATACTATAGAAACAGTTCATGAATAACAAGGAAATTCAGAAACGGAATGAATCAGTATTTATTTTCTCCTGTTTCTATGAAAATTTTTTGCCAAAAAAATTATCCTATCAAATTTGTCTATTTCTAGTCATGTGGTGTCGAAATAACCAATGAAACCATCATTACACTGATAACTACCCATGGATAGTTTTCACGGGTAGTTATCACTTATGTCATGACATTGCTAAGCAACCAACACAATAAAGTTGTTTGACATTTCAGTNATGAATCCATTATTTTAGTTACGGTAGATATTTTAACAAATTAACAAATTTAACGTACATTAATGGAAAAATTCTACTCCTACCTTCGACCCCCGTCGAATGACGGGTAAAACCTCCAATTTTTTTAATGGGAAGTATAGGCTTGTGATAAATCGTTTGAAAGGTATCTTCATTCTCTATTCAAAAATGTTTATCGCTTCCAAGTTTATTACAACAATTGAGATAAAATAAAAAATCATGTGGTTATCGAAATTCGATGAAATACACTCAAAAGTTATTGCAATATACTCAGAACTTATTTCATATTGAGGTATTGATAATGGGAAAGTAAGCAAAAATCATAGCAATGTTCTTTTTAGATGGTATCCTTTAAAAACTGTAAATAATTTCCGTGGCAACGTTAGTTTAAAACGCTTTGTCAAACTTGTTTTGTATGTTACAACATTAGTTGAAAGTATTTTAAATCAAGTTCAAAGTTCTTTAACTTCAAGTCTGACAAATGGATAGATTAACGGAAATGCATGAAATAACAGTTTTACAAATGATTGGTTATAGAGATAAAACCCGAACACAATAGGAAGTCGCTCACCTATATCATCAGAAACTTCCTAATTTACCGTGCATATAATAATAATAATAATAGGTCATCTTAGGCCAATACCTCAAGGAACAATAAGTAAAATAGAGAAGCTTGGTCATGTGTGGCAGATAAAAAAGCAGCTGCCAATGCAATGAGTGATGAACTCAAATTAGATGTGATGCTTCAGTTTCATTCATCGAGTGGACAGGCGTCCACTATATTCAATGTTAGCCATACATCGATAATAAACATATTAAAATAAAATAAAATGCATCCCTATAAAATGCGATTACGTCGGTCACGCCTGATATGTTAAATAATGTTAGAAGACAATTTTATTTGAGATTAGGATGTTGCCAAGACGTTCGCGGTGAACATTTTAAACATCTACTTCGTTAACATTCATAGTTATATTTGGTATTCTATATTTCATTACGTTCTGTATCACATTTTAGTTCTTGGGTATATTTTATCTCAATTGTTGCAATAAACTTGAAAGCTATAACATGAAGAGACCTTTCAATCGCTATATCGCAAACATATACTTCTCATTTAAAAAATCAGGGTTGTACCTGTTATTCGAAGGGGGTTGACGGTAGAGGTGGCATTTTTACGTTGTAGAATGTCAAATTATAATTTTCATTTGACGTGTTTCGGGATTTTTTAAAATATGTACAGTAAACGAAATAACGAATTTATTCCATTTGGCTTTTATACACTGTATGTTTTCAAAAAAGTCACAGAAAATGATGAAGGATTTGTATCATGGCACACTTTGTTGAATATTTTTTCATTTCTTCCAAACTCAGTAAAACAAAATATCAGACACTAATATGTTGTTTCGAAGATACAACCATCAACCATTTCGTTATTTGAAAAATCGATCATAAGTACTGTTGAGTAGGTTTCGTTTCATTGAAAATTTCAACCACCTCGTGGGCGAACTCACCTTTTTGTATTATTTCCGCCGCTTCATCTTCTGTCATTACACTGCTTCTTCTTCGTTTTTTGATTTCTTCGACTGAAATAAAAAATCTATTCAATTCGAAGCTAATCAGAGATGACTGAAAATTTCTTACTGCATTCCTTTTGTTCTTCTTTGACTTGTTTGGCGAGTCTACAGTGGACAAGGAATCCTCGAAGAATACTTTGAATTTTGATGATTTTCTTCACTTGGGTTTCATAAAGTCGTGAGAGGAATTCTTCGTTGTGATACTTCAAAAATACTTTGGTCCTGCCCAAAGCCCATCCTTCCATTTTTAGTCGAATCAGTAACAATCTACAGTTGTCTCTTGTTATTTCTACGTTTTCGTCGAAATCGAATGCCAGAAATTTGTACCTGAAATGAAAATATTATGGATCGTGAAAATTATATGATCTAACATATGTTGATACGTTTTTTTGAAGGTGCTTGACAATGTTTCATGGTGCATTCCATTAGTTCGGACTTCCATTGTTTAATATGATATAAATTGATATGAAATCCCTGAAAGAATCTATGAAAAATCGAAAAGATTAGCTGAAGAAATAACAATTATGAAATGAATTAAAATACACGAAACAATAAAAAAAATTGAATTAATAACACGAACATGAAAATTAAAAATTAAAAGATTCCAAGCCAAGTTACTTCACGACGTTTCGAGTGTTAGTATCCACAATCGATATCACCAGAAGACGATTTGACGTATACGTCCAATGTATTTGAGTAATACATTTTAATAATAGTTGATATTTGAGAGTTCATGGTTGCCTTTTATATTTGGGGATTAGAGAACAAAAACAAATATTAATCATCGAAAATCACTTTATTGTTTTTCAAAATATTCCCCATGAAGATCTATATACTTTTGCATGCGTTTGAACCAATTGTCGAAGCACTTTTGCCACTCTGATTGTGGGATCTCCAAAACATGCATTCTGAATGCAGCAACCGCATCTTCAGGTGTCGAAAAACGTTGACCACTCAGTTTTTTTACGTACGAGAATGAAAAGGAGTCATTCGGTGCCAAGTCAGGACTCTACGGCGGATGACTCATCAAATCGACGTTTTGGGTGCTCAAAAATGCAGTTGTTTGAGCCGATGTGTGAGAGCTCGCATTATCGTGGTGAAGAGTGACCCGTCTTCAGGGGTTGGTTTCCCTGATTTCTTGGAAGACAACTGGCAAAAAAATGGTTGTGTACCACTAAGAATTGACTGTTCTGCGTTGTCTAGTGGTACGGTTGCGACATGTCCAGTTTTTCCGAAAAAACAGGTGACCATTTGCTTGGAACTGCTTCGTGTTGGATTTGGCTCGTCTTGGAACACCCATACAGTCGACTGCTGTTAATTTTCGGGCTCATACGCGTGAATCCATGATTCATCACCTGTCTGGATGTCATAGACGTGTTCCGAAGCACCACGATCGTTTTCTAAGCATTTCTTTCGACCAATCGACACGAGCCTTTTTTTTGAGCGATTGACAAATTGTGCGGGATCCAACACGAACAAATTTTGTTGACAGTCAAATGTTTATGGAATATTGAATGTATGCTGGTCCCACTAATGCCTAGGTTATCTCAATCTCATAATAGATCACATGACGATCTTGCAATATCAATTCGCGCACAGCATCAATGGTTTTCGGAACAACAACTGATTTTGGACGACCTTCACGAAATTTGTCTTGGAGTAAACTACGACCACGATTGAATTCACCATACCATCGATAAACACTGGTCCTTGATGAGCTTCATCGCCAAAAATTGAATTGAGTTCATCCATGTACTGTTGCTGAGTTAATCCACGTCGAAAGTTGTAAAAAATAATCGCACCGAAATGTTCACGATTTAATTCCATTTTTGAGCCGAGATGAATCTTTAAAGTTACTGTAAACAACACAAGTAGCGCGCTTATGTCAAAATGCTCCGAGTACGTATAAGATCAAAAATGTCCAACTTTACGATAGAGCTATCAGTTGCCAGATTGCAACACTAGGGTTGCCAAATCCAGAAACATGAAAGGCAACCTACCAGCCCGATAGTAAAGTATCAAAATCTGTAATTTTCAGGTAAAGAAGTTCCATGGACGGGTCAAAACAATGTTTCAAGGTAAAGTGCTAACCTTCTCAAAAACTCCGAAAACGATATTCTATGTGGATACCCCTGCTGCCTGGTCTTGGCTGTTTCCACTACCGCCATTGCTCTTATTTGCTGTTTAACAAGCTCTCTTCTGAAACTTCCTGGAGCTCCCTTCAAATCTGTCCGGATACACCTCACGAAATGAGTGTTTCCTGCTCCACTTCCAACTGACAACTCCTTGAGTAAGCTCAAACAAAGTGATCTGAAAACTGTACTTTGGGTGCGCATCTTCTTGATTTGGGAATATTGTCTGTCACTACTTATCTACAAAATAATAAACCCTCAGAAACTTTCTGTTTTGTTTTCGAAACTCATTTATAATCAACTCAAATATTGATAATCACAACACAACAAAGTTTTTGTTTCGGAGTTGAAATTAGATGATTTTAATGTATTTCCACGTGTTAAAACCGAAAGTGACCATAAAAATTATATATTAGCTCTTGTTTTCAAGATATAGTATCATTATATTATATATATGTATATTGCGTCATAAACAAATGAAATATTTCATCACCAACAGTTGGTA